CCCTTTCTCTTCGTGCTACATGAAATAGTTGAAGGTAGCGTACGTATATATTTGTTCAAAGCCCAGGAACCGGAAGAACACCTAAAGCACGCCTAAGGACAAGAAACCGAGCCTAAAGAAACCCGAAACCAGTGAAACCCACTGTTCCCTCCCTTTCTCTCCATCACGCTGGCTTTGGCGCTTCGTCCCCTACCCTTTCTGCTGCTCCTAGTGCTTGGAAAGCACTCCCAGCAGAAGCCAAAGCAAAAAAAAAAACAAAACAAAAGCAGTAGGGGAAAAAAATGGAAAAAAAATCCCGGAAAAAATTTGAAAAAAATTCCCGGGAAAAATATCCACCCTCACTTTACCCCAGAGGGTGTGCGGATCGCCAAGGGCCCTAGGGACTTTACCAATCCGTACCTTATGTTTTTTTCAATTTTTTTCAGCATTGGATTCAGTTCAAGGACTGGACTCAACACCCAACTCCCAACACCCAATTATTGGACAGCCTGGCTTGGGGTGATGCTTGGTTTCCCTTTGGATGAATCCACTTTCTGGGGAATGTTTGTTTGCCGCTTCCTTATAAGCACATCAGACTGATGAAATCTGTCCTAGTGAAGCAGCCAACTTCACGAAAATGCGCGCGTGCGAATGGCCATGGCAGGTTTGTACCCTTTGGAATGAGCCGTTATGGAGCTGAAGTGCGGCCAAGAAGGTTTGATGCCCGCGTAGTAGTACGTGGACATCCTGCAGGAGAACCTGCGACACGCGGAGGACTGTGTGGGGAAAAGAAGGCCTAAGTGAGTGGGGAAAGAGAAGGAATGCCCCTTTAGAAGAGTGAAAGAGATCATGGACGATCACTAAGGGGCGTTCCTTCTCTTTCCAGGGGCGACCCTGTTTGATCAAACAGTGAGATTTGAGCATGACTCACCGCCGAGAGAACTGTGGTCCGGCAGCCCGATCCCCGGGGCCTCTCAGAGAGCCACCAGCCGCGGTTTGGCATAGGGTGTGGCTTTAGAGATCAAGAGCGACGCTGCAGAGCTTCCCCAAGAACTACCCCAAGAGAGTGTGTTTTAAATAACCTGAGAACGGACCCTACTCACCTAGGTGGGTACCAAACTGGGATAGTCGTTTTAAGGTTCTGAAGAACCTGTGTACAAACCTGGTTCTACCGACCTTGATCCGCCCTAGGCCATGAGGCCAGCATGTCAGCTGAAACATCTAGCTGGAGTCGACCCCGTTCGTACCTCTGAAAATGGGTCACCGTCGTACCCAGTCGTCGGTCGTACCTGTTTTTTTGTCACGGGTCGTGAAAACATTTTCAATGATTGGTACGAACCACGTTGGGTCCAGGTATACCTCCGGTAGTTGTTTTCAACCTTCCTCCTATACAGGCTGGGTAAATGTCCGTCTTTCTGGAAACCCCATACCATCGAACAGTCAAGGAATTCGACGCTGAACGCGCGAGCAGCTGACGAACGAACCATGTTCTTGATATTCCCCTTGATACTGCACGCAATCCAACGTACTCAACATTGCCCAACATACCCGATCAGAAGCTCGTCTCATGTTTGCTGGCACATCTACCGTCTCATGTATTCGGGATATCATATTGTACATCATTGTCCACTGACCAACCAGGATGTTGCGGATGTTGGACCAGGTGTTCTAATCTTAAACATGTGTCAAGCCTTCAGCATCTTAAAGAAACATCTATACATCAGACACCCACTTCTTCCAGTCCCATCTTCTAGCTTCTGAGGTCCACCCCCCCCACCAGAGCGCTGCCCACGTCTCCCTTCTCCGCCCAGGTTCCACCACTCTCGCCGGCTCGACGCCCGAGGCGCAGACGGATCGGCCCGATGGGCGGCGCTGGACGCCGCCGGCGGTCACCGGGTGTCCATGAAGAGTTCCCAAAAGAGGTGTCCATATCTACCACCCCCGACCTGGGGGTGCTGGATTGGATGTGTTTTCTTTTGTGGGTGCAAGATGGTGCAAGGGGGTAAAGTAGGGTAAAGAACATGAGAAGGTCGAATGGGATCGCCCTGGAGGTGGGGTTCTCTGTGTGCGCGTGTATTAGATTGAAGCATCTTAGTGTTTGATTTGCGATGCTTTAGATGGTTGCTGTCCGATCCGAGTCTGATTTTTCAGGTTTCTCTTGTGTTTTTAGTTGGAGGAGTCTGAAGAACGTTTCAATTGCAGGATCTTCTAATGAAACATCCAACAACAACAACAACAGCAACAACAACAACAACAGCAACAGCAACAGCAACAGCAACAGCAGCAACAACAAGAACAACAACTTCTATAGTCACTATACCGTGAGTTCTTCAGTTCATGACAGACTGTTTCGATTCTCAGATCCCAGTGTTGAGACAGGGTCACGGAGAGACAGGGTCCCAGGGTCACTCTTAAGGGTCGTCCTGGACTGGAACTCGATCAAGAACCGGTCGGTCGTCCTGGACGTGGCGGGATCTTTAGTGCCAGCTGAAAACAATCAAAGGCGCATGATATCGCATGATATCGCATGTCTCTCCATGTGTTTGTGTTTTTCTGTCCCACACCTTCCCTACACCGACCCGTTTTCGTACCTCAACGGTTCGGTCTCACCCGCACCTGCACCCGGGTTCGTCGGACTCGTCCCACCGGTAACCGGTCTCGTGGTGCGGCACGACGAAGCGGTCGGCCCATCGGGGTCGGACGATCAGATCGTACGACGTCCAGGAATCCCGACGTCAAGGTGGTGGATGCTCCGAGTCTGACCAGCTTAGGCTGGAAATGGATTCGCTGGGTGGTCGTTGCGTCGCTCGCTTGGCTTCGAAAGCCATTTTATAGCAGATATACCTTCGGAGCCGGGCCGAGGGAGAAAACCCAGACTTTCGACTTTCGAGTTGCGGACCGATCACTCAAGCGCACCGCCTGGCAAGCATTCAGATGAATTAAGTCTTAAGTGCATGGCTCTGAAAATCCGGCCCAAAGGTCTCTTCCCTTTGTCCGGCTATACAGAGTTCAGGCAGCCATTCGCACCAGGACGGGAGCTCGGAGTTTCCGCTCTGAGCTTCAACCGCCTCCGCGAAAAGAGCTGCAAGCATGTGGCAAAACTGCGGCGGGTATTCCTTTAAGGAAGATGTTGGTTCACAAAAAAGTCCAGTCTGGCGGAACCATTGTATGACAGCCAGGCGCCATACAGACGCCGCATGCTCCACCCCACTGCGGTGTCGTTGTGGCTCCTCTGGGTGTTCCAGAAAGGAGAAAAGGCCCAGTCGCGCCTGAAGAAAGCAAATGAGCAAGGCGAATGTCAGCAAGGTATTGCCAACGAGCACTTGGAGACTTTCTTTCTTGGTGAGGTCAAGTCTCCCCCAAAGCTCTTCTGCCGATCTTACTGGCCTTGGGCCATTTCCAGCTTCCAGAGCTTGTTCACGAGCAATTGAGTCCTGCTCCGGTGCCGAGAGCTAGGCCTTCACGTACAACTCTCAGCCAGAGATCTTGCGCAGTTGCGCTCATCAGGTTGCAGCGTTCTCCTCCAACCATGAGGTCCACAGAGAGGACTGACATCAGGGTGGTGAAGGAAAAAAACGCTGCTTGTAAAATACCTGCGGGCAACGTACAGTACATTCTGTAATGGAAATGCTGGATCTGCTCTGCCACAAACTCCGGCACAAGATCGTGGGCAATTGATCGCCAACTATAGCACTAGTGCTCGAAGTAGAGAGACATCGTGGCTAGTAAGATAGCCTTTGGCCCACTGCGTGAATCCCTGGTGGATTGTAGCAAAGGGTGCACATCGGATACAAACGGTCTTCAGTTTTGTCGGCTAAGGCTGACGCGAAGTCCTCAGACGTCACATCGTCCGTAAATTGGCGAATTGCCTCATCCAGATCAGCTGTAAGGAAACAAAGATCGCTGTCAAACACGAACTCATTCGATGTTACAGTTGTCTCAGCAACTCGAACCCAGGGATGCAACACATGAGGTGCGGTCTGCTCAGTCTTATCTTCGTGCCTGGTCTCCCAAAAGTGTGCCCGGCAAATGGCACTGTAGCGCAAATGATGGTGGAGTTTTTGCTTGTGGAAATACTCCTTGGCACAAACATGACACCTTGTACCTTTCACAATCTCCCCAACCATACTCAGGTATGAGTGCTTTTGGTTAGCGTGTAAAAACCATGCACGTTTGTTCACGAAAGCTCTCTGGCAGAGAAGACAGAGGTGTATGCTCGATGCGTCAATCGTTTGGCAAAAACCACCTGCTTCTTCAATCTCATGCAGGAGAGTTCTATACCATTGTCTGCACCTAGCCTCTCTGTGTCGAAAGGACTGGTATCTGCGCACCACTGCTTTAATCTTACTTTTCCATTTTGGGTAATTGGTCAGGATCAGTGATCTCCAGGCTTCCCAATTTGCTTTGGGTGGGACATCTTGGTCCCTTCCTGCTCCATCCCAAAACCACTCAAGGCTGGATATCTGCACGAAGGAGGTCTCAGAACCTTGTGTCTCAGAGCCCTCCTGCCTATGGGTCACCATGTTTTCAACTTCTTGGACATCCAGAATAGTTCCTGGCAAAAGATTGAGAATCTGGTGCGGGTCGACTACGAGATCATTGATCTGCGTCGTAATCCGACATTCCTCTGTTCTATCTTCGCCTTCGCCTCATGCGACAGATTAGACTGACCAGGCTGATTGGCTGCCATCAGGAATAACATGCAGTGCAGGGAAGCGAGTTCCTATCCAAAGGAGTCGTATAGAATGACCGGGCCGGGCTTCTAAAAGACTGTCGAACAATCAGGACTCCCCAGTGGCCCCTCAAGAGGCGAGTGGTGGTGAGATAGGCTCTGCGCGGCCCCTGCCTCCTGACGGCAGTTGCCTTAAAAACCACAGCCGGAATCGGTCTTGATCTCCATGATCTTCCCTTGCACAACTGCCTACCCAATGTGTGTTACCAACTGAGGTTTCATGTACGAAGAAAAAGCTGACCTCTTCCCGCTCACATGACATCAGTCTCTGCTGTGTGCGTATTCGGACCTGCTCGATGTCTGCCTCCAGGTTTGAGTCAGGCCGTTGTCTTTGGTGTCTCTGCGGCGGCGTCCATGGTGCATGCCGCGTGGCAAGGCTTCTCTGCATTAGATCTGAGTCATCTGATAACTCAAGCGAGTCGGGGAGTTCATCAGCCTCAAATTGTGGCTGTTCAGTTGGACAGGAGGCCGGCTCCTCATCGAGCCGAACTTCAACATCTACCCTTTCACCATAGCTGATTGGGTAATGGACCTGTTGCCATTCTACTCCGTCTTTACTGACCTTGCATCGAACAGCTTCACAAAGCCCTGTCATTGCAAGCTTATCCAGTATTATACTTCGCGAGACAACATGGCCATCATGGATGGCTCTGATGAAGTATTGGTCCGAGGCATCTGTAACATAGTTGATGACTACCATAATCACCTGTTCATCCCTGCTGTCAGCCTGCACAAGCACGTAAAGGTCATCACGACCATTTTGCTGCCGGGTCGAAGGCTGCGGTGCTGCAGGGCCAGCAATGATTCTTTCTGATGGCAAAGTACGGTCCCACATTGCTTTTCGCAGCGAGACTGTAAAATCAAGCCTATCTATTTCACTCTGCGTTGTGTCCCATGTCACAACTAATCTATATGGAAGTTCACTAGCATCATCAAAAATGAGGCAAATGATGTCTACCGCTAAGCTTTGACGTTGGCGGTAGCGTACTTCACCCAACAAGTCCCGGTCATCCGCCCAGAGTGTCAGTCTATCGACATGTGAGCGAAAAGCCTGTTCATGTTGGTGTGAGTCCGAAACACCAGCCCTCTGCAGCCTGATGTTGATGGGGCTGCCGTTGCTGTCACGTCCAAACTCTCCCAAGGCAAGGGGCAACTGGGTTTGGCTATTTTCATCATTGGGCTCGGTACCAGAAGTCTGGCTAGCAGTTTGACATGACTCCGTATTGGAGCCTTCTCTGGTCAGAGTCAGAATCGGAGGAGTAATCTCGTCTCTGTCAATCGCAAAAGGCTGCCCTCAAACTGAGGGATTCTCTCTCCCCTCCTGTATGTGCGATCTCTAACTCGAATGCGACAAATGCTAGTGTGACACTGGTTAAAAGGCGCTACTCTGTTGAAGATCTGCTCGAAACTTGGAAAAGCATTGTCCCAAAGACACGTTCTCGAAAAAACCCAGTCATCGCTACTATAGTCAACTAGGACCGCAGTAGTATGCTCATCGTCACTGTCTAAGACAATAACATTAGTAGCTGGTCCTCCCCCATCCGGGTAGGTATCAGCTACCAGGACAACGTATGGCCTAGCGAAAAGCGTGTCCCGCCAAGCCCGCCACCGGTACTCCGCTCCTGTCTGTGATCAAAAGCCGCTTATTAGCTTGGCAGAAGTTCCGGGCAGGGGATTCATGTCTCCAACTCGAGATTTGTACAAGCTGAGCTTCGCTGTGATCAATGATCCATGTCCACAGCCTGGACAGACGAGCTGGATTGGCTCTCTGCATTAGTTGCGCCTCATCCTCCGTCAGCCCAAATGAACTCTCTTCCTGCCTTTCTGTTGTTTGGCTGGAACTGCTACAAGTTCTTTGGCATGTCGTCGGTGTGGTGTCTGAGGCACTATCGGCATCAATTTCGAAAAGTTTCAGGTGAAGGCCGCTCCATAGCTCAATGTCTTGGTGCCACCAACTTCTACGAGGTCCATTCTGTATGAAACAGAGCCTATTGTCTTCCCTGCAGTGGTGTGCAGGCACGAGTTGGTCGAAGACCCAATCCACGGATGTAGGAGGGGCTAAAATCCTGAGCATGGCAGTACCCCTGCGCGAGTGTGAATCGGCAAGGAAGTCAAAAAGAATGAAGGCTCGATCTTGCGCTATCCTATTCGTCAAAATGAAAGTCGGATCCTTTCCAAGGTCCCGGCTGGGCATTGGTCGAACTGGGAACACAATCAAGGGCCTACCTCCCGTGATATCAGCCCAAAAGCCTTCTAATTGACGTTTCAGGTCAGCATTCAAACTACATTGTTGTTGCCGCCTTCGCTCAAGTATTTCCTCCCTCGAACTCCAGGGATGGTACCATGTGGTGCACGCGATGGTGCGCACTTCAAGTGCCTCAGTAAGGTATGCAAGTCGTTCCACAGGATCTTCACTGCCAGCCTGCATCAGTGCGAGCTCATCCCCACCTGCAAGCCTAGGCTTTTTGGGTCTCGTCTGACTTCTCTCAGCGGAGCACTCTGGAATTTCCTGGCAATGGACGTCTAGGAGTGCACCAGAGTCTATGTCAAGGCGGTCAGTCACCCCCAGTGTTAACGACTTCCCTCTGATGGTAGCAGTTAGAGTTTTCTTGTTGGGATCTTCGATAATACCAAGCTGCTGGAGGAGAATTCCCTCCTAATGTATCAGTCCGTAGGAATCTAACTGCAACACGTGTAACTGGCAAACTGCATCTGAGCTCTAGGATAGCTGTCCGTGCTGGGCCTCTGTCTAGCACAGCTGGTTGGAAAATAACTGCTACACTAGACGCCTCATCGACAGGGTCTGTTAGAGTGGCCGACAGTCTGCCATCTCCCCCAAATCTGTGGTAAGTGGAGAGTGTACGAATGCTCCAGGATTCCTTGGAGTGCAAATTCAGGGATTGTGTCTGTATTGTGATGTTTTGCCAGCTGGAAGAACCCAAGCTTCAACTCTAACAGTAGGATTACTTGTACTGATCATGAGTCTGGCTTTGAGGTATGCTCTCAACAGGTCATTTTCCTGCGCTCCTACAAGGCCATAATGGACACTACCATATCTGCTAGGAACCTCATCCGAAATCTGGTGTTGTCCAACGAGCTCGATTCCTGGCACTGGCTCAAAGTCCTGCATAAATGAAATGGCATCAGATATTCTTGTTATTTCGACTATGAAGCCTCCATGCTCTGTTTCGTCATGACGAGCTCTCCTATGCCTAGAAAAACGGCTGTTATAGGCACATGCATTGAAGCTGAATATTTCTCCAAAAGAGTCCTGTCTTATCGATGCTATCAGACAAGCAAACCGGCACGACACTAGGTAGACCAGCACATGGATCTCCTCTGGCAAGGAAGAGTAACCGGTCGGCTGCGGTCGAACAAAGACGAAATCACATCTACCTCGACACTCTTCCTCCCAGAGCTCGTTCGCAACATCTCGAATCACTATCCTCTGGCCAGGTGCAAATTTAGAGTGTCTGCTTTGTTCACGACAGCCATTCTCCGGGGCAAACCAAAACCTGAAGTCTAAAGGCTGTTCGGAGAAGGGATCGTATAGGGGGTGAGTACCCACCCCTCTGTCATTTCCTGGCTTATTGCCCTGGTCGTTCTTGGGGAAGCAAGTGTCAGGGCTGGCGCCCTGCGCATGTCTGCCTCCGTAGTGGACATCCTCCTCAACATGAGCTACACCGTCTGTACAATCTCTGGCGTCCGGTCGGTCCTCCGGTTTGCAAAACTGATTTGGGAGCTCTATGTTGCTTGAGGCAAAATTGTAGCCTTCTTTAGTTAGCTTACTGCTATCCTTCCCACAAGGCTGAGGGGATGTGTCCTGTGCGCTACCTGTTCTAGTCCGGGCAGCACTCTGAGCTAGTTGCCAGCTAAATCGCGACTCTGGTAGGTCAAGCATGTCGGAAAAGGTGGTAATACTGGCATTGTCAGAGTCATTTCCCCGAGACTGTGCAGGACATGAAGGGCTCAGTTCAGAGCAATTAAATGGCTCCTGTGGCCTAAAAGAGTGCCCATTCTCTTTGTTTACACTCTGTTCCATGCAATTCTGAAACAAAGAAAAGGCTTCCACGTCAGTCGAAGGGCATCTTCTTTCACGTTCTATCACTAAGTCAACTCTTTGCTGGAAGTCAACTCTTGATTTCTGGTTCAGTGCAAAATGGCGGGCAGTTCATGGGCACCATGCGCAGCAGCGACACCGAAACAATGCCGGACACGCGAAGGAGGAAAGCTTGCTGACCTGCGACGGTCTTAAGAACTCAGACCCAAAGACGGGCATCAGACATGTACAAACAAATTCCAAATCAGTGTCGGCAGTTTACTCAAACATTGGCAACAAACTTGATGTAGAAGAGGACGCTGTCAGCTCTTTTCAACCAATTTGCATCCTTGTCCGTGAGCACGGGCGAGTTGCAGCCTGCCAGGTAAGATCAATTGCTGTCAGCGCGCTTTCAAGACTGACACCGACCTGTCCGAATTCATTGCTGCTGCCAGCAAAATGGTATCCGTTGCGTTGGCTTCTCAGAAGATTGGTCCGCCCACACCGGCCCATGCTCTTGAGCGCGCTGAGATTGAGTTTGGCATCTTTGTAGCTTCTGGATTTTAGTTGTTGAACGCTTGTGTCCGTGGGTGTTCAGTGCCAGGCTGTGCACTGTTCTTGATATGGGGCCTGCGGAAGGGAGTGCAAGCCCCGGACTTGTCGGGTAGAGAGGACTGTGGCTATTTTGCTGCAAACCTGCAAGACAATTTTGGGGCGAAGCGTGGAAAGCACCAGATCTGACAGAACGCTCGCTCAGACAAACAATAATGTCGACCCTTGATTTATAAACTCCCCCCCCCTCAACAACCAAGGCCTCCAATATAATGTATAAGAAATTCAATCAATTGATAATTAAATAAGGAATCCTTAGCTAGCTACCTCTGGAGCTGCTCTGGCAATATTAAAATAAAAGGAATTAAGAAACCTAACTTTGAAGACATCTGGAATATTAATTAGAATAAAAGGGAATGAATCAATGGACCTAGAACTAACTTTTTAAATTTCAATGGAAAGCATCAAATCTCAATGGAAATCTTCAACTGTTTAATAGAAATCTCCATCCAAAGGCCTCCAAAAGCATCAAATCTCAATGGAAATCTTCAATTGTTTAATAGAAATCTCCATCCAAAAGCCTCCAAAAGCATCAAATCTCAATGGAAATCCTCCATCCGAAAGCCCCCAAAAGCATCAAATCTCAATGGAAATCTTTAAATGTGTAATTGAAATCTACATCAAAAGGCATCCAATCTCAATGGAAATCTCCAAAATTTCACTGCACATCTGAAGCAGCAACAGCAACAGCAGCAACAGCATTGGAAGGGGGGTTTGAGAGATGTTCAATGAGTTGTAGCACTTTAGAATCTGGAATATTGAAGCCTTTGAGCCTTGCCTTCCAGCTTCAACCCCCCCCTTGCAACCTATATTGCTGTCTGACCTCGAACCTACCTTCAACAAAGGCTCTGCAGACAGTACCTTGGCTGGCGCAGGTTTCCTGATTATATTTGAGGCTTCAACAAGCTCAGTAAGGGAGACGACGCTGGGGACAATCTTAGCTATTGCTTGCACACTATGCTCATCGAGAGTCCTAATAAGGATGGCTTTTTCACTTGGCGAAAGCCTACCTGGAGCCACGATGGCCATCAGCATCGTCTCACTCGCAAACCGAATGTCATCAAAGCTCTGAGGTATAACAGCACCTAAGGTGACTATCAGGAACGAACTCATCCTGCAGTTAAGACCGAGCACTGGTGCGTAACTGATCTGGCGTTGGGAAGGTTGGTGCATGAATGCCAAAC